TAACGCTTTATGCTCGATATGAGAAAGGTGAGGTAAAATATTTTGATGATAATCGCAAGCAATGTGTTGTCTACATTGATGTTTGGGGGCGTCACGGCAACTTCGCCATTATCATTGAAGTTAAATTCAATTCTGATGCTACTGGTGAACCTGGCAAAATTGGATCTAAGACAAAAAGCTCCCTTGCTGCTGCAGAGGAAATAGTTGAACTTCTACCTGGTAAAAAAGAAAGAGAAGGCGGATCCGGTGGTAAAGCTGGCACTGGCAGAGATTTAGAGAAATTGAAATTTAAAGACATTAAGGAGTACGTTCTTATAGGTCTGGCTGTGGATGGTGATTATACTACTCATATGCTTGTCTTTCGAAATACATCCAAATGGGAAAATGTAATTCAAGTTAATCCTGAAAAGCATGTTGTAGAACTAATATCAACTTATCTAAAATGATAYAACTMSTGAGAATGGTGTTATGATATTGAGACTTATTTACTGATAAGATTTTGCTTTCTCTTCATTTAATAAATTTATTTTGTGGAAAAAGCGCATTTTTTTTTGTCTTTATACCTTTGCTTGTTGCACTGTTATTGATGTAGCAATGCTGATTTGCTGATGTTGAATTGAGTATTGAACAAAACTGTTGATTCGTCAAGGGCTCATGAGTTGAAGTCTTAATTCAGGATTGATGGTCGTGCCGATAATTCTCCTCGATAGTCACATACCTAGAAACGGTATAAGCTGTCGGAATGAAAACGGGGAATGTTTTGCACTTATTTTTATTAATTCTGTAAACATTCTGAAGGCATAGTCGCATATTGGGGTGTTGCAAACCGAGGGATTTTACCAATTATTATCCTGATCCAGAAATAAAAAAGCCATTTTGGGAATCTAAAAACAAGAGCTTTTATTTGTTTAATATTATTACCGGTCGCCACACCGCCCGGTGAACTTTTTGCATGTGCCAATGCTTTCTCTAGAACTAAAAATAAATCCATTTTCTGGTGTCTCAAAACAAGGAATGCTGTAAGGTTTTTTGGGTGCTTTTTTTAATGTAATTATGTTTGATTTTGGACGATTTTCCCATGTGCCCATTTTCTGGTGGTCTATTGAGTTTCGAGTATTTTTTGGGAACATAAAAAATTATGATTTGTAAGGCGCCAAATATACCTTRTTGATTTGGTGTTGTTTTTCTGGTCCAGAAATAAAAAGCCATTTTGGAGTGTCTAAAAACACGGTATATTGTAAGTTTTTTAGAGTGCTCGTGAGATATTTTTACATGATTTTGGGWGATTTTCAACGGTTTTTTCATATGCCCAATTTTTGGTGGTCTACACATATTTGGAAACTTTTGAGGTGGATAAAAATTAATGATTTTTGAGAGGTTTTGGGCCCTTTTCGGTTGTGTGCTAAATTTGTAAGATTTTGCCTTGTTTTTTAAGACGCCAAATGTCCTGGCCCTGACTTGGTTATCCAATAATCGCTTTTTTTTTATTTAAACACAAACCAGATCCGTGATTTATGACAAAATGGTATAATTTGCCAACAAAAGAATCATTTATTGGTAGCCGACCGCTTTAAAGGGTCTTTTTGTTGTAAACCTTGGAATCTTACCCCAATTGCAGTTCTCCATTGTCACCTAAATTTACGATGGCACAAGTAGCAGGTCTTAAATAAAAATGATTTTCAAAGTTAAGATGGAAATTTCCATTTTATTCAAAATCTAATTGGTATTTTTTTTTCTCTGATTTTGTAAACAATTGTAGGAAGTGAATCTGCGTAGGTCAGTATAAAAATTAGAATTAAACTTTTTGGGAGAAAATTACTTTTTATTTTTTTTTGACTTTGTAAATGAAAAATTACCAAAAAATTACATAATGTTCCAGGTAAGTGTGAAAAAAATCAACAATTTTATTTAATTTCTTTTCTGTGCGTAACCGATGCCCCTCCCGGTATATGTTTTTTTACAATTATTCAGTAAAGGTACAAAAATTTTGCCAATAAAAGCCACAAATAACACTGAAGAGAGTTACAATTTAGGATACAACTTCCTTGTTTACCTCTTCTTATAGCCTATAGCAAAAGAACTTGGAAAATTATTTTTCCAACAGAATTAAATAGAGTCAAAGTGCAAAATTTAAACTCTCATAARTTCGAAATTTTTGTAGATAGAATTTTTTTAACATTTTTTCCATGGTCCTGGTATCTCACCTTATATGGCATTTTTCTATTATTATTATTTTATTCTAATGTTATTTAGTTTTTTGAATTTGTATCAATTGTGGTGCATAAGTATCCATCTAAATATTTATTTATGCATATTTTGGGTGTCAAACAACGTCAAAGATTGAATGAGAAATGCATTGATGACTTATCATTGTTCTTATTCCAGAGAAAATGGGCGAGATTTACTCTTTTTTTTAGTTAAAGTTTGAAAATTTATTAAATTTAAGTTTTTAATATGGCGCTGACAGTGAGAGTGATTTTTGGAATTAGACTAATTAGAGGTTGGTAGTAATGAGAAAAAAACTCTATTAGTAATAACACAACTTGAGTTAACCTGAGTTAGTCTGCATTATCTTGCGTTCTCTGGGGCGCGAGTTCTGGTGCACCCTGTATAACTGATGATTGTCGTGCTAGTTTGGTAATACTTTTTTTGTAAAAATTCTATCTAAAAATTTTCAAGTTATGAGATTTAAAATTTTGCATTTGTGGTTTATATTAGCAAAATTTTTCTATGTTTACTAAATAATTATATATCAAAAGACATTAAAAAATGTCAAATGACAAATTTTTTTTTCATTTTTTTCAAACTGTTTTGAGGCTAATATTTATATCTTCTATATCATCATAGCAATTGTAATTCATGTTCTTGATTCACACTATATTCACCAGCAAATAAAAAAAATAGACTGTATTTCTGGAAATTCCTATTTTAAACATTTTATCAGTTTGCATTTAGCGCCACTAAAGCTACCAACATAAAGTATTTACCGACTTTACAGTTTCGTCATTTTCGACCAAACCAAAAACGCAATAAAAATCTAGTCCCAAGATTACGTTAAATTAAMCCCCAAGTTGCCCCAAATGACTCTCAATTTTTATTCATTCGGTTTGTATAATTTTTTTGGTATTGTTACCGTCATGTTGGTACCACAATTTTTTCCATAACCTCTAAACTTGTGTTTATTTAACTAAAAACAGCCCCAAAATGGCTAATATGGTTCATTGCCAGCTATGGATGGGCAGTGTAAGTACCCCCAGCCTGTCTCACTCCCATTTCYACTAAATTCCTTCCAGTTGGAGCCCTACATGACCGAAACTTTCATCATCTCAGCCTTCCGTAAAATGGGCGAAAGCCCCCTTAACGTGAAAGTAATGCGTAACAAATTCACCGGTGAGGCCGCCGGCTACTGTTTCGTCCATTTCGCCAACGACGAGGAGGCTATCGACGCGATGCACAAACTCAATGGAAAACCCATCCCGGGGACCACCCCCGTGGTGCGCTTCCGCCTCAACAACGCGAGCAACACGGGGCGCACGCTCCTCGACCGCGAATTCTCGGTCTGGGTGGGCGATTTGAGCCCCGATGTCGACGACTACAACCTCTACAGAGTCTTCTCATCAAAATACAACACGATCAAAACGGCGAAAGGTGAGTAGCAAGGGGGCTGTCGCATTAACCCCCTTTCAGTGATCCTAGACAGCAGRGGCTTCAGTAAAGGCTACGGTTTCGTSCGCTTCGGRAGCGAGGACGAGATGAGAGACAGTCTGACCACGATGAACGGGTATGTGGGGCTCGGGACCAAAGCCCTGAAAATTTGCAACGCAGTCCCGAAGCCCAAGGGGGCCCTCACGACGGGGACTCCCTCGGCGACGAGTACCACGTCGACGTACACAGCGGCTGATTATAGCCAGTTTTATGACCCCTCGACTTATTGGCAAAATTACGCCAATTGGCAACAGGTGAGACACGGTGGTAGAAAAAATTTGGTGTGTAATCCGTGGTGAAAATCATTCCAGGGTTACTACGATCAAGGTGATGGGACTGGTCATGAAGCCTACGATATGTCAAATGTCATGATGGAGAAAAAAGAAGAGGATTTACTTGAGTTAATTGACCATTCGCTTCCCCTTGATGTCGATAAAATCAATCGCGAACGTATCGAGCAAGATTGTAATCTTTGGGATGCCCTTGAGAGTTCTAAGTGGCTACCGTGTGAGGCATTAGAAGTCAACTGACGTTAATTTAATTACAAATTAATTATCAATTAATGTTGTGGTATATTTTTACACCTTAATTTTCCTTCCCTTGTCAAATTTGAGTTTAAAAATTTTAAATATTGAAAAACTAAACTTGTTTCCTAGTGTTTAAGGATGAAGAAGAAGAAATCTAAACAAAGGATGGAAATGAAAAATATCTTGAAAAGTGCTTGTCATGGATGATTACATACATATTATTGGATGAAAATAAAAGTTCATAGTAAAAAAATTCAAAAATTTAGAAAGTAAGAACAAAAAAGATCTGAACGGAGAATTAAGTTTATTTTAGAATTGGAAGATTTAAAATTTGGAAAAGAAAAACGTATGACTAAAGATTGGAACATATATTAATAGATTTTGAGAAAATAGAAAAATATCTTGAAATAATTATGATAATAAAAAAATGTTTGAAAAATAGAAAGCACATGAGATTAAAGAACAAAAGTCACAAAAATAAAGCAGAAAGATCTTTAAAAAAGGCTAAGAATGAAAAGTATCTTCAAAAACTGCTTGTTATGAATGATTCAAAGAAATAAGATAGGTCTCGATGGAGAAAAGTACACAGATTAATTGCAACAATAGAAAATTTAGAAATGAAAAACTAATCACAAGTAAAAATGAGATTGCAAAAATTGAAAATTTTGGACTTGAAACTAAAAAAATGGAAAGGAAAACATCAACAAACACTAAATTAAAGCAAAAAACAAAGTCACAGATCTTTGGATTAGAATTTTTTAAAAATAAGTACAATTGAATCAAAAGATATATAAAGTCAAAGACTGACAGTTTTGAGAATAGAAAAATTTGGAAATAGAAAAAGATTAAATAAGACTAAACTATCTTAGCGTTTAGGATATTTAATGGAAAAAATATTCTAAATATGATTCTAAAAATATAGATCAAAGTTTGAAAAATAGAAAGCTCAAAAATTAAAGAATGGAATTCTAAAAAATAAAAAAGTCACAAAAATAAAGCAGAAAAAATCTTTAAAAAAGGCTAAGAATGAAAAATATCTTCAAAAACCGCTTGTTATGATGATTACATATTAATGTATGAAATTTTATGTAAAAAATTCAGAGAAATAAGAAGATAGGTCTCGATGGAGAAAAGTACACAGAAAATTTAGAAATGAAACAAAAACTAATCTAGATTTCAAAAATTGAAAATTCTGGACTTGAAATTAAAAAAATGGAAAGAAAAACATTAACAAACACTAAATTAAAGCAAAAAACAAAGTCACAGGTCTTTGGATTAGAATTTTTTAAAAATAAGTACAATTGAATCAAAAGATATATAAAGTCAAAGACTGACAGTTTTTTGAAATTAAACAAAGAAGTAAAGGTTAAAGAATAGAAAGATTTGGAAAAAGAAAAAGACTAAATAAGACATAAACTATCTTAGCGTTTAGTATATTTAATGGAAAAAATCTAGATTGGAACATGGAAATGTGGGAAATTAATAATTAATAGATGTTGAGAGGGGAAACTACAAAAATATTTTAAAATATGATGCCAAAAAATATGGAGCAGTTTGAAAAATAGAAAGCTCAAGAACTAAAGAATGAAATTCCAAAAAATAAAAAATGAAGGAAAAAAAATGAAAAATATCTTGAAAACTGCCTGTTATGAACGACTACATATTATTGAATGAAAACGGAGATTTTTAGTAAAAAACTCAAAGAAATAAGAAGATGCATGATTTAAATAATGAAAGAATTAGAAAGTAAAACATGAAAACTAATCAAAAGTAAATTGCAAAGATTCAAAATTTTGAACTTGAAACTAAAAAAATGAAAAGAAAAAACATTAATAAACACTAAATTAAAGCAAAAAACAAAATCACACATCTTTTGACTGAAATTTTCTGAAAATAAATCTGGTTATAGATATAAAACATTTAGAACATTTAATGGGAAAAAATCCCAAAAGATTGGAAGATTGCAAAGTGAGAAATTAATAGATTTTGAGAATACAAAAAATCTTAAAAATATGAAGCTATAAAAAATACGATGAATAATCAGGATTTTTCGTTTTTTATTTTTAAGACAAAAATAGGAAATTACAGAGACCTAGGAAAATAATAAACTTTGAAAAATAGAAAGCACAAAAATTAAAATTATTATTATTCAAAAAAATCCTAAAAAAAAGGCTGAGAATGAGAAATATCTGAAAGCTGTCGTTATGAATGAAAATTCGTAGTAAAAAACGCAAAAAAAGAAGATATAATACAAGGTCTGAACGGAGTCTTAAAGACCGAAATATGTCCTGAAAAATTGTAGTAACAGAAGATTAGGTAATGAAATATGAAAACTAAAAAAAAAGAGAAAATATTAAACCAAAAAACAAAATCAATGAACTTTCCATTCAAATTTTCTAAAAATAACTACAATTGGATCAAAGGTTGAGAGTTTTTTGAAATATAAATAAAGAATCAAAAGATTCAAATAAGACATTCATAAGATAATAAGAAATATGGAGTTTTAACAAATACAATGAATCAGGATTGTTCATTTTGTATTTTTAAGAGAAAAAACTGGAAATTATAAAAAACACAAGCAAAAAGTTAAAATTACATAAAATGGGTAAAAATGAAATAAAAAAGTCGCCAGAGATCAACAAAAGTAAATTTAATTACCAACTTACAAATACACTAAAATAAATATCCCTAAATCTATGGCATATATACACCTCATTCCTCCTCCGCCGGTATAGTAACATTATTTTCTTCGGCRGGAATCGTCTCATTACATTCGGGGATTTCCGCTGACAACGTAAACAAATCCTGAATCCCATTTTCCTTACACTCGAGTGCCTTTTCCAAACTCGACATATCCTGTCCTATCTGCCTCCTCCCATGCTCCCCAGTCACCATACAAACCTTATAAACGGGTTGCCCATTATCCCCCGTACTCGCAACAACAATAAGGGACCCAGGTTTTGCCTTATCCAACCTAGGGGGCGACTCTGGAGCCCTATACCTATCCAAAATCTTCGGCACTCGCCCCGACCTCGTCGGTTTCTGCAAACTCTCCAAAACCGTTTCTTCAACCTCATCATCAGCATCACTATCTTCTAAAACATCCAAAATGTCCAATTTCTTCCGTTTCGCTTCAACAACTTCCTTCACCATCTTCCGTTTCTTTGCTTCTTTCTTCATCTCACGCTCACGTTCCTTCTGCTTCTCGATTTCTTCCTTTTCTTTCTCTTCCATGTCGACTTCGTGTTTGAATTCGTTAAAGTCGAAACCACACGGCTGCATTATCGCACGGTCGACTAGATTCTTATTAATCCTTTCTTCTTTCTTGAACTTCATCTTCAGTTCTCGYCGTGATCTTCGCGGGAAAAGCTCGCACATTAGAGTGAAATCGGTGCCTATTGTGTTCAAGGCTTTGTAGAATTTCAAGGTCTCGTGTTTGGTCCAGTCTTTGGAGCGTTTGGCGCGCTTATAGACCCCATAACCTGTCTCGAAGTCCCCATTCACCACTTCTCTCTTCTCCAATTCCTCCCGATTCTTCTTCACCGCTTTATTCTCAATGACTAAACTCTGCTCGTCGACGATGATGTCCCCCTGGGGGCCGATCTTGATCTGGGGGGCGGGGATTTCGTTCTCTTCATCGCTTCCAGGATCGTCGATCTTCGTTTCATCTTCGTTTTCTTCACTCACTTCCGTTATTTTTCCTTTTGTTTTGTTGGCACTCATGGGATTTGTGACGGGATTGTAGAAAATCAAGTCGATCATTGTCAGTTTTTGACGGTCGGGTTTTTTGTGGCCGAATTTTTGGAAGAAATCACGACGGGCTTCCGCCAGTTTTCGGCTTTGTTCGGTTCGACGACATTTGCGTTGGATCACCGAACTGAATTCTTTCGGTTTTTGGGGCGAAGGGCATTCGGGGAGCGAGTCCTGGAAGCCGGAGGTCGACGAACACACCTCGAAAATTCAAAAAAAAAATCTCTACCAACTTTGAATCATAAAATTCACCATTTTATTCTTATATTGGCATTTTAGTGACTAAAAATTGTTGCCAGGTCTGGTATGATTTGGTGAAAACTTTTGTTTAAAAATTGTAATATCTTATGGTTTTTTTTTAATGAAAACAAGGGAATTATAATGAATTAATAGAATTCCATTGGAATGTTTTGGAATTTTACTAGAATTAATTGTGAATTACTCAAATTATTTATTAATTATTGGGAATTACTGGAATTCTAATTTGGAATTACCGAAACTGTTTTGGAATTGTCGGAGATATATTCTTTTAAAAATTATGTTGAATTCCTTAAAACTATCGAAATTAATTAGGAATTATTATGGAAACAATAGAATTATGATAGACTTATTGGAATTTTTTTGGAATTACTGGAATTATTTGTGAATTTTTGGTATTTTTCTAGAATTCCTTGATTTCTTTCGGAATTATCGGAGATAATTTCTTTTGAAAATTATGTTGAATTTTTTAGAATTCGGAATTAATTTGGAATTACAGGAATATTTTGGAATAAGATGGAATGAAGTTGGAATTATAGGAAATAATCTGAAAACAAGGTTATTATGATGGGTTATTAGAATTAATAGAATTCTAGAAGAATTATTTGGAATTTTACTACATTTATTTGTAAATTACTCAAATTATTTATTAATTATTGGGAATTACTGGAGTTCTTTTTGGAATTACCGAGGCTCTTTTGAAATTGTCGGAGATAAATTCTTTTAAAAATTACGTTGAATTCCTTAAAACCATCGAAATTAATTGGGAATTCTTATGGAAACAATAGAATCATTGGAATTTCAGTGGGATTTTTTTGGAATCACTTGTGAATTATAGGCATTTTTATGGAATTCCTTTTGGAATTACTGCATTTCTTTTGGAATTATCAGAGATAATTTCTTTTAAAAATTATGTTTAACTTTTTATAACTATCGGAATTAACTTATAATTACACAAATTATTTTGGAATCACAAAAAATATGTTGGAATTATAGAAAATAATCTGAAAATAAGGATATTATAATAGATTATTAGAATTAATAGAATTGTAGTAGAATTATTTGAAATTTTACTAGAATTAATTGTGAATTTTGTGAATTACTCAAATTATTTGTGATTCATTGGGAATTACTAGAATTCTTTTTGGAATTCTTTTGGAATTTTTGGAATTGTCGGAGATATATTTTTTTTAAAATCACGTTGAATTCCTTAGAACTATCGAAATTAATTGAGAATTATTATGGAAACAATAGAATTATTGGAATTTCGGTGGAATTTTTTTGGAATTACTGGAATTATTTATGAATTATTGGCATTTTTCTGGAATTCTTTTTGAAATTACTGAATTTCTTTTGGAATTATCGGAGAAAATTTCTTTTGAGTTGAATTTCTTATAACTATCGAAATTAATTTGGAATTATAGGCAATTACCTAGAAACAATAGAATTGTGATGGAATTATTGGAATTTCGGTAATTTTTTTTTGGAATTACTGAAATTATTTGTGAATTATTGGCATTTTTCTGGAATTCGGAGATAATTTCTTTTGAAAATTATGTTGAATTTCTAAGAACTATCGGAAAAAATTTGGAATTACAGGAATTATTTTGGAATTACGAAAAATAAGTTGGAATTAACTTGGAATTATAAAAAATAATCTTAAAACAAGGGAATTATGATGGATTATTAGAATTAATGAAGTTCCAGTAGAATTATTTGGAATTTTATCAGAATTATTTGTGAATTACTCAAATTATTTGTGAATTATTGAGAGTTACAGGAATTCTTTTTGGAATTACCGGAGATATTCTTTTAAAAATTAGGTTGAATTTCTTAAAACTATAGAAATTAATTTGAAATTACGAAAATTAATTTGGAATTATAGAAATTTATCTGAACACAATAGAATTGTGACGGAATTATTAGAATTTCGGTGGAATTTTTTGGAATTACTGGAATTATTTGTGAATTATTGACATTTTTCTGGAATTACTGAATATCTTTTAGAATCATAGGAGATAATTTCTTTTGAAAATTATGTTGAATTTCTAAGAACTATCAGAATTAATTTGGAATTACAGGAATTATTTTGGAATACGAAAAATAAGTTGGAATTAACTTGGAATTATAAGAAATAATCTGAAAACAAGGGAATTATGATGGATTATTAATATTAACGAATTTCCAGTGGAATTATTTAGAATTTTTCTAGAATGGTTTGTGAATTACTCAAATTATTTGGAATTACTGGAATTCTTTTTGGAATTATCGGAGATATTCTTTTAAAAATTACGTTGAATTTCTTAGAACTATCGAAATTAATTTAGAATTACGAAAATTAATTTGGAATTATAGTAAATTATCTGGAAACAATAGTATTGTGATGGAATTATTGGAATTTCGGTAGAATTTTTTTGGAATTACTGAAATTATTTGTGAATTATTGGCATTTTTCTGGAATTACAGAATTTCTTTTGGAATCATCGGAGATAATTTCTTTTGAAAATTACGTTGAATTTCTTACAACTATCGAAATTAATTTGGAATTACAAAAATTAAGTTGGAATTTCAGGAATTAATTTGAAAACAATGGAATTTCGACGGATTATTAGAATTACTAGGATTTTGGGTAGAATTTTTTTGGAATTACTGGAATTATTTGTGAAATACTTAAATTCTTTTACAATTATCGGATTTTTTGCAATCATTTTTGTAGATAATTTCTTTTTAAAATTACGTTGAATTTGTAAGAACTATCGGAATTAGTTTGGAATTACGAAAATGAAGTGGTAATTATGGAAATTTCATTGGAATTATAGAATTAATTTGGAAGTGTAGGAATTAATGTGAAAAAAATGAAGTTACTCAAATTTCGGTGGAATTTGGAATACAAATTACAAATTCAAATTCTCCTAAATTAGGTCAAAAATGATGTCACAATTTTTTTGAAACTCAATTATTTTGCAAAAATTTGTGAAAAATTAAAATCTGGCAACATCTTTTGCTCAAATCTGGTGAATTTAATTTTTTGGGGCTGGCAACCCTGCACAAAAATCATAACCAATTTATTAAAAATAAAAATACCGAATCATTCCTGTGCCTGTAGTTCCTGCGACTCTCGTCTTCCGATTCGCTGGCGCTGTAGTTACTATTACGGAAGCCCCCCAATTTGGGGACTGCTTTAATRCGRCCCCTTGATATCTTCGTAGGACTCYGAGGCGGCTCTGGAAACGTCAATTGTGACCCCCCATCTAAAACAAATGACATTTAAATTGTCACAAACGTCAAACTAATCACAGCCAACTTACCTTCAACCACTTCGGGGCTTTTCAACTCAAAATTTTGCACAGTTGCAGGATTTGCAATAACTTCGTTTAAAATAACAATTTTGTTATTTTTTACTTCTTCAACGACTCGTGGTTTGATTGCATTTAAAGACACTGTCGGTTTTATAAATTTGCGTCGAAATTGCGCCCCCTCGGTGGTAACCGGAACACTGTCATGCTCGACATTGAGGTTATGTTCGTCTGGTGACACTTCGGGGGCTGTTTGGGGCTTGTCTTCGGTACTTACAGGGGGGTTGAGGGTCTTACGACGTTGGGGGATGTTGGCAATGCCCTTGATACGGGTCCTTCGGGATGCCATCGTAAATTACAGTAATAAAAATGTTCGTAATCGTAACGAATTTAGTTTTAAATGTTCAAAACAGATAAGACACTTCCATATGGTGTTGGAGACGGTTGTAAAGTGAAGAAAACACATGGCAATTTGACTTTAAACGAAAAGAAAGTTACTTTTTGGGGGGTACACGTTTGACAGTTTAACGGAGGTAGACAACCAATAATACACACCTAAATTTAACAAATAACAAAATCTACTAATAAATAAATAAATTAATAATAATAATAACATTTAAATCATACGTAAAAGAAAAACAATAATTAATTTAATTTTACATGTATTATTTTTAACAAAAGTGTGTTGTTTTTAGGCAACCAAAAATACACTATTGTTATGTAAAATTAATTTAAATCAATAAAATTGCCTAAAATTTGGTCATTTTATTTGTATTCATGTACAGTTATGTCGTTTGTGTTGTCGTAATTAATTAATATTTGTGAAAATAAATTATTACGTAATTTGTTGATACATTTGTCGTCTTAGAGATGGCGCTAGTGTCTATGATTTTCGGTTGTAAAACGTCCAGTTTGCTTTAAATGGGTGGAGTGGGTTCAGTTTGGCATACTTACCTGGCGTAGGGGTTACCGTGATCAAAAAGGCGGTTCCCCCAGGGTGAGGCCCTTCCATTGCACTGAGGTCGGGCTGACCCCTGCGATTATCCCTAATGCGGATAACTCGGGCGCACAATTTTTGGTAGTCGGGACTGCGTGCGCGCTATCCCGGCCTTAATTRAATTCAAGCATAATTAATTACAAATACCCCTAATTAATTAGGTATCTCATTTACAAGGTTAGGGGGTCCGACCCCTGAGTCGATTTTATTGACGTTGCCATAGTTACAATCCAAAAAAATGAGAATGCATTGAAATTGCTACTAGCAATCCAGAATTAATTAATTTTTCGTTAATTACAAAATATTTAATTCGGGCCTTCCCCACGTCTCTCAAAGCCACTTTGATGGCTAACAATTTGAAATCTTTAACGAATCGATCAAAACTGTAAATTTCCTGAAAATCACAACTTATTATTTATCAAAGTCGTTGAAATTTTGATGATAGATGTTCAGTAAGTCCTGAAGACGCCTCATATCGATTTCAGACACACAAATAGTTACAAAACATGAAATTGTTACAGCTTCATGAGTCACAACTTTGATTGTTTCTCAAGTCTTTCAGGATGAAGTTTGCCTGTGATTTGAATTTTGAGAGTTTTTCAGCGATTTCAGGTGCAGCGATTGGTGGCCCTACAAACCTACATTATCTAAAGAATTTGACTTAATTATGATTTATTTAATAACTATAAATTATAATAGTAGTAATAAAGATAGGAAGGAAAATAATAAATATTTTCAGTGTTTTTATTTCCAGAATCACATTTTGCTTCTTTGATTATTACATTAATAGGAAAAAATGGATTTAAAGTGCTTATTGTTACAAACCAATTTTTAGTGTTAAATATACAGGGTGTCTCACGTAAAACTTTTTATCTGTGTCATTTGCCAACGCATTTTTATGAAATTTAAAAGGTGGCAATTCAATTAGTATTAATAAAATTATCCCAAAATTAAAAAAATTATTTTAACACATATTTTCTCAATTTAATAAAATTAAGCAAAACTACCTACTATTATATTGTAAAGCACTAAAAATAGACCTCTACACAAAAAATTGACTAAACCATTAGTCTGTTTATGTTGTTAATTTTTTTATGTTTATTAATTCACAAATCAAAGAATTTTATTTTTAACAGTTCTTTTATTATGAATAAAAAAATGTACATTTAGATTATTAGTACTACATAAACAAATTTTTGAC